TTGGCAGGCGGATTCTTTACCCGTGAGCCACCAGGGAAGCCCCCCAGCTGGATTCTACTGCTGAAATTACTCAATACGTCTACAGTTGAGTCTCCTCCCCCCCCTCCCCCCGCCACACACCCACTCACCACCAAATTTAACTGTCCGTTTGAGAAATAACTAATTCTGAAAAAAGATTTCCTCAGGCCTGAGATAAGTCTGAAACCAGTCTTTCAAACCCATCAAAGCGAACGACTCCTCTTAAACTATATACGACCATGACACACAGCAAACAACCATTTTCTAAAATAAAGGGAAACCATGCGTTCTGTATAAGAAACATTATTGCGCTTGTAAATCAGGCCTAAAACAACTTGCTGGGGAAGCACAGGAAATTTCACAATTCCAGGTGTGGATTATTTACAATGCCCAGGCCAATCACAGTTTCAGGAAAACACAGCTTACAGCCATTAATCTCTCTAGTGAGCATCTGGAAGGCAGGCCCCTGATTTACTCACACAAAGAAAATCTGTCCATATAATAGGTGTTAATCAGCTTAACACCTTGTAGCTTCCTCACTAATTGAGGGCTCCCCTCAATTAGGAGAGGTAAACATTATTTCAGACTCTCCTGGGGAAGGAGAGTGTGCAGGAGTATAGCATTATGGTTCAGGGTTCACAAAATGCAATCACTCAAATCTTTCCCCCAACCTGACAAGCATATCAGCAGATTTCCTAACACACACTGAAGGAAAAGAAGGGGCAGTCACATAGCAAAGGGACATGTTCTCTCTTTCAATAAGGAGAAAGAAAAGTAATTTGAAACTCCAAGAAAAATAAAAACACCATCCAAAGATGAGGCAATTTAAAATGTGGCATGAATTTGAGCAATTCACTCAGCTTTAAGTGTTCACTTGTCCTGATCAATATGAAATGTCTCAAGTGGTACTTGGGTTGATTTTGAACCCACAGAGAAGAAATAAAACCCTAAATGCTATTTTGCTTCCCAATCAAAATAGTGTAAATAGTGCTTCTTGGTTTTTCAGCTTTTTTTTTTTTATTAAAAGACAAAGGTCACAGAGGCACAGATGCTTATAAAATGTGCTGTCGACCTGGACAATTTAAAACTAAAAGCAGGGGACTTCTCTGGTGGTCCAGTGGTTAATAATTCACTTGCCAATACAGGGGACATGGGTTCGATCCCTAGTTTGGGAAGATCCCATGTGCCTTGGAGCAACTAAGCCCATGTACCACATCTACTGAGCCTGTGGGCCCTGGAACCCAGGCTCCACAACAAGAAGCCAGGCACAATGAGAAGCCCGAACACCACCAGAGTAGCCTCTGCTCGCCACAACTAGGGAAAGTTCTTGCACGGCAGCAATGACCCAGCGCCACCAAAAAGAACAATAATTAATTTTTTAAAAATGCTAAAAGCAGAGCTAACAGTTGGAAGGTAGAGCAGAGAAAAGTGGAAAAGGGTAAGGATAATTATGCTATCAGATTAGACAATGAAAAGTTGATGGAAATTTAGAAAATTTTAATATTGATTATATAGTAAAATATAGTACATTAATTTAAAATACTTTATGATAAAGGCATACAAAGATATGTAAGTTTGTGAAATAAAAGAAAAATAACAAGCATCTTTTTGCCTGTTCATACTATTCATGGGGTTCCTGCAGCAAGAATACTGGAGTGGTTTTCACTAGTGGACCACGTATTGTCAAAACTCTCCACCATGACCTGTCCGTCTTGGGTGGTCCTGCAGGGCATGGCTCATAGTTTCATTGACTTACACAAGTCCCTTCACCAGACAAGGCTGTGATCCATGAAGACTGGTGTGCTACAGTCCATGGGGTTGCAAAGACTCAGATATGACTTAGTGACTGATTGACAATAACATAAACATCAAAACTGAATAGACACCAAAAAGAGTATACTACTTGATTATTTTAAAATAAAAATCAAAAGCAGGCAAGACAAACCCACAGTGTTAGACGTCAGAATAGTGGTAGGCTTTGAGAGAGACAGTAGCTAACAGCAGACAGGAGGGGCTCCTGGGGAGCTGGTATTGTTGTTGCTTGATCGGTTACACAAGTGTGTTCACTTTGTGAAAATGCATTGAACTGTGCTAACAGTGTCAGCCCTTTTCAGTTTGTTACACTCCAATAACAATTTTTAGAAAGAACAAAAAGGGGAGGGGAAGGAAGGGGAGGAGAAATATAAGTACATCAGATTGAGTAGTGTCAAATGTTGATAAGTGTGGGAGCCAGGGGAATAAGCTTATTTGTAAGAACTAAAACAAATATTGTCTTTACACATGACATTAATATTCTGGCCATGCTGATGACTTCTGGTAGCCCTGAGCAGACTAAGGATTCACACTCAGACTTCTATTTAGTTTGCACAATTATACCTGCCTGCTCAATACACATCTGTTTCCGTTAAAATATGTGCTAGTCCTGGACCAGTTCCCCATGAATTTGGTTTTTTTTTTGGGGGGGGGGGGGACTAACATGACAAAACATTTAAACAAGTGAGATATTTGGGATATACTAAAAACAGAGCACTATTTAGGATTTCCTCTATCCTACTACTTGTACTACGGGTTAAAAGGACCACATCAGGGAGTTCAAAAGCTGAAAAGACAAATGTAACAAATAGTAACAACAGCTCTGTAATTGCTAGAATGTTACTATAAAGGGCAATTAGCTAGTCTAACAATCAGCAACAACAGAAAACAAACCTAAATAATAGAGTACAAAATATCTTTTTAAATCTTGCCACTGATGATACTGTTCAGTATTATAATTATTATAAACTATGATTCTTCTTCCAGAAATTACTCTGGATACAGTGTGAATAATCAGAAATAGCCGAAAAATCATACCTCAAAAAAACCTTAGAATAGAAATTTAAAATTTCTTCACCCCGATACATTTTCATTAACCTGATATTTAGATTCCTTTGTAGAAAGACCTAGTTTTAATATTCTATAGAATTCAACTCTTAATTGATTAATTCAAACTCCAATCAAGATGCCAAGAATTTTTCTAGAAAATGACAAATGACTTCGGAGTACATGTGGAAATGCAATCAGATGTGACTAGCTCTAAAAATTCTAAAAATGAAAAGTATTGACTAAGAATCTGCCTAAATATTAAAATCTATAAAAACGCACTGAAATAGTACAGCACCGTTGGCAGAAGGGACAACTGGTGGCATAAGAGTCCAACAATAGACTCGAGAATGTGATGGATTTTGGACATGGCATTCAAATCAGTAAAGATAGATGATTTAATCAATTATGTTGGAACAACTGGTCAGCCTTTTGCTTGAAAAAAGGCTAACATCCCCCAGACTTTTTCATTTTCCTATTAATATGGAAATTTACAACACACACTTTACAGTAAAATCAATTACAGATGGATCAAAACACTAAGAAGTCAAGGATCTAAAATGGGCAGCAAATGAAGAGGGCAAAGCAGCTAACTCGTCCGTGAACCCAGCTGTGTGGGAATTGCAGCGAACTAAAAAGCATCCGTGCTTCCCCAGTTTTTCGTTCTTTCTTTTTAAACATCAAGTCTCCCTGGGGCAAGCTGACAGAGCAGATGTCTGTCTGCAAGAGGAAATCGGGTGGGAGTTTGGGAGTTCTGGCTGGGGAGAACTAAGTCTCAGCACACCTGAAAAGTAATGGCACACCACTTGAGAAGTTTTGAATTAGAAAGCTCATGGCTTCTCAAAAAGAGCAGGAGCTAGTTATTCGATTCCATCTGAGGGGTGCTCTATGGCAATACAAACCCAGTGCTGTTAAATTTTTTAAGAGAAGATGGAAATCTAGATCGTTATGTAAAAATCATTGGCAGATATATACATATATCTATATAGAGAGATATTTAGGACACTGTGAGAGGCCAAACAAAACCCATCTGTTGGCCAGATCTGCCCCACAGGCTACCAGCTTACAAGTTCTGATTTAAATGCAAAAAAATGAAACCTTTCAAGTGCCAGCAGAAAACACATGACATTATTGTCTCAATCGTGGAACAGGAAAGACCTTCTGAAGCACAATCAAAACCAGAATCCATAGAAGACCAAGACATTTAAGTGCGTAACAATTTAAAACTTATGTGTAACTGAACATTACGAATAAGCCTTAAAAAAAAAAGAAAGGATGATAACAGTTTCCCCTCTGGCTCTAGCAGCACATGGACTGTGGCAGCCTGGGCCACATGCCTTCCTCTGTGGGGGAGGAGAGGGCGCCAGGTTTAACACCAGGACCACTGGGACCGCCCGCAGTACTGGAAGAGCTTTCTAAATGAGCCAGAAAGGAGGAGGATGTAGGAGAGCACCAGAAAGGTCCAGAATCACAGTCCCCATCATCCAATACTCAAGAAATATTAACTGAGTATGTTTCAGTCTACATGTCTCCTACTTTCATAGGTATTTGAATATCTAATAGTATAAATAACTGATCAGGGATATTAAGACTTCCTTCTGAATAGCAAATTGGTTATTCTTAATAACTGCTTCAGAATATAAATACACTGCTCGCAAGGAACCCTCATCATACACTATATGCAAGAAGGCAGTCAACTATGTGTGCAGAGCTGGAAGGAGAGATGTGATAGTTAACTATATCTGACAGAATTCCCTCTTCCAAGCCTCTCACAACAAGGCCGATTTCCTTGTGTTTCAGCACAAGCCAAATAGGTGCACATTTTCCCAAATCAGTGTGACCCGGGCCAGTTCCTCGAACATAGAATTAGGATGCTTGATCTAATATCACATCCACATGTTGAAGAAATGAGTTACAAGACTCAGAGAGTACTAGATTTCAAGAAAATATGTAGCCAGCCTAACAGGTTTGATTTCATCCAGAGAAGACAGAAATTTTCACACCTTTTCCTGCACCAGAGAATCCATAAGTCACATAAATAAAAAGGACCAACCTTATTCTTTGAAAAATTGATTATAAAATTCAACATCAAGGTATCTTTGCATCATGGACTTCATGGTTACCTGTTGCTGCCGATGTTGACTCTTTCCGTAAACGCCATTGCTGCCAATTACTGGAAAGCGATGAGTCTGCTCATCTGAAAAAGAAACAGTAGCCTGTGAACATCAGCACATAAATAACTAAACTAATTGGTACACCTGAACCAGAAGGCATCTTACTAGACACAGAACTCAAAGCTCTCATTTGAATAATAGACATTAAACAATATTCATATTGAATAATAATTTCAATAATCTCATTGAATAACAGTTGTTCTTCACCAACTCTCAAAACTGTGTGAACACACTGGCCGGCATATACCAAAGAACAAATGCACTTTAAGCCTGAAAACAATTTCAGCCAGGAAAAAAAAATGTGCACATGTATGTTTATCACGAGGAGGGAGAAAGGAAATAACACTTCCTCAGTGTCTAGTTTGTGCCAAGCCTTTAAAAATGACATTCCATGTAAACATTACAATACACTTGCAAGGTACATACTAAAACCTCATATACTAAATAGCCCATTTTATATATAAGAAAAGTGAAACTCAGTTTTAAGTAATTTGCCTAAGGTAATAGGTTGTGTCAACAATCTCACTAGAATCAAAAGGGGGAAAGGTAAAAGTATAGACAAGAAAGAAAAGTTGATTTTCAAGGCTAAATACAAGTGAGCCCAGTAAAAGCCAATCTTGAGATTTTACTTCCACTCATAAAAGGCACTTAACCCCAAAGCAATTATGGAGAGTTCTCTTGAAACAGTACTGGTTAAAAAAAAAAAAAAAAGCTGTTATCCAACCTGGGCAGACTGGCCTTGGTACCTATCTTGTATATCTCTAGAAACAACCTTTCAGTGTCTAACACCATCACCAGCTGGTTCCTTTTCCCTTTCTTGTCTGTATTTGTAAATTTACTGCTCTTATCCTAACTTGCTTTAAATAGTTTCAATTTTTTTTCAAACATCCTTAAGGCAAAAAGGGTATGTTACTAAATTATCTTAGTACCAATTTAACAAACTATCTGATACAAATGGAAATAAATACAGATGTTAAGTTTGTAACAATTTTTAGAGTGCCTGCTACTTTAAGAGCTTAACTGTCACACTTTCTGCCTGAGGCTGAAGAAACACTGGAACAGAGCCTTTCAGCTCAACTCTTTTATCTGACTTTTAGGTCTTTTATCTCCCCTCTCCATGACTACAATGTTTCCTTATTAGTAGATAACCATTTGTCAGTCCATCTCCTCCCCCAGAAAGAATGCAACATGGATGCTACAAACATTCTAATCAGACTCACCTCAGTAGAGCTCTAAAATTTTCAAGGTCAAACATGCTTTGGAGTAGGACACTCCCTCAGCTGGCTATAGTGGCCCTAGGCAAGTTTTGTAAATTCTCCAAATCAAATCCCCATCACCACCCACTTTAAAGAAAGTAAGTGAAGCTGCTCAGTTGTGCCCGACTCTTTTGAGACCCAGTGGACTGTAGCCCACCAGGCTCTTCTGTCCATGGGATTCTCCAGGCAAGAATACTGGAGTGGGTTGCCATTTCCTTCTCCAGGGGATCTTCCCGACCCAGGGATCGAACCCGGGTTTCCCACATTACAGGCATATGCTTTACCCTCTGAGCCACCAGGGAAGACTCCCCCTTTACTCTCTCTCAAAGGTATACTTTGGGGGGAAGGAGGGGAAAGTATCCAGGCTTGTGGGATACCAGTTCCCCGAGCAGGTATTGAACCTGTGCCTTCGGCAATGAAAACAAGAGTCCTAACCACTGGACCATCGTCCCCAAACACACACTTTTGTTTCTCTTTCCTCCTTTCTCTTTCTCTACCCTCCTTTCCCTCTCCCTTCCCCCAACTCCCCTCTCTCTTTCTCAACACGAAGAGCTAGTTCAGTTCAAGTTCAGTAGCTCAGTCATGTCTGAGTCTTTGTGATTCCATGAACCACAGCACGCCAGGCCTCCCTGTCCATCACCAACTCCCGGAGTTTACTCAAACTCATGTCCATCAAGTCGGTGATGCCATCTAGCCATCTCATCCTCTGTCATCCCCTTCTCCTCCTGCCCCCAATCCCTCCCAGCATCAGGGTCTTTTCCAACGAGTCAACTCTTCGCATGAGGTGGCCAAAATATTGGAATTTCAGCTTCAGCATCAGTCCTTCCAATGAACACCCAGGACTGATCTCCTTTAGGATGGACTGGTTGGATCTCCTTGCAGTCCAAGGGACTCTCAAGAGTCTTCTCCAACACCACAGTTCAAAAGCATCAATTCTTCAGCACTCAGCCTTCTTCACAGTCCAACTCTCACATCCATACTTGACCACTGGAAAAACCATAGCCTTGACTAGACGGACCTTTGTTGACAAAGTAATGTCTCTGCTTTTTAATATGCTATCTAGGTTGGTCATAACTTTCTTTCCAAGGAGTAAGCGTCTTTTAACTTCATGGCTGCAATCACCATCTGCAGTGATTTTGGAGCCCCCCAAAATAAAGTCTGACACTGTTTCCACTGTTTCCCCATCTATTTGCCATGAAGTGATGGGACCAGATGCCATAATCTTAGTTTTCTGAATGTTGAGCTTTAAGCCAACTTTTTCACTCTCCTCTCTCACTTTCATCAAGAGGCTTTTTAGTTCCTCTTCACTTTCTGCCATAAGGGTGGTGTCATCTGCATATCTGAGCTAGTAGTCCACAGCAAATAATCAACAAAACAGTAGGCGTTGTTTTGGCATTAATCTTCCTAACACTGTGAAGGCTACTCAAGAGTCCATGATATAGAGAAAGAAAGTGAAGTTGCTCAGTCGTGTCCAACTTTTTGTGACCCCCATGGACTGTAGCCTACCAGGCTCCTTTGTCCGTCCATGGGATTTTCCAGGCAAGAGTACTGGAGTGGGTGGCCATTTCCTTCTCCAGGGAATCTTCCCGACTCAGGGATGGAACCCGGGTCTCCTGCATTGTAGGCAGCTGCTTTTACTGCCTGAGCCACCAGGGGAGTCGGAATAGAGTCCATGATGGTTGTCCCCAAAACAGTCCTCCCAGTGAAGATGCCCCACCTGCTAGCTGCTCAATAGCCAAGAGCACCCACCCCAGGGCTGACTGCTGCAGAGAGGAGGAGGTGGGGAGCTAGGCTATTGAGGGAGTCTCACCTGACAAAGAAGTTCTGAGTTTCCTTGCTTGTTCATTTACTCACTGGGCCAACAACAACAAAAAAAAATTTTTTTTTTTTTAAGATTTTTGGGGTGTGGACCATTTTTTAAAGTCTTTATTGAATTCGTTACCATATTGCTTCTGTTTTATATTTTGGTTTCTTGGCCGAGGGGCATGTGGGTCCAAACCCCCTGCATTGAAAGTTGAAGACCCTAACCCTGGACCACAAATATTTCCTGGGCCTCACGGTAAGAAGAGGAGAGTGAAGGAAATGGGAACTGAGCTTACCAACTACAGAAGGTGAGCAAAGATGAAGCATTCTATACAGATGTTCCACTGTTTTTGAAAAAGTGACATAGAAAAAAACAAAGCGAGAAGTGTAGAGGGCCAGAGCGGAAACGAGGTAAGGTGTTGCAATTTTATATCAAGTGGTCAGAGAAGGAAACATTTCAGCAAGGGCTTAAAGGAAGTGAGGAGCAAGCCACGCTGAGCTGTAATAAAAGATGGCCTAGCTGTCAGGGTGATGAGGTGTCAGGGCTCACGTTCCTCAATGGTAATAAATGTACCACCCCAGTGGGAGATGCTGAGTGGGGGAAAGTGGGGTGGCGGTGGTGGGGACAGGGAGGTCTATGAGCAATCTCCGTGCCTTCCACTCAGTTTTGCTATGAACTCAACTGCTATAAATAAATAAATAAAGCCTTTTTTTAATGGTCCTAGTGGAGAAGGAAATGGCAATCCACTCCAGCAGTCTTGCCTGAGAGATCCCACAGACAGAGGAGCTGGGTAGGCTACAGTCCATGGGGTCGCAAAGAGTCAGACATGACTGAGCAACCAAATCAAACAAAATCATCCTAGGAACTTTGAAACGTCTAAGACAGAAGGAATCAGCTGAATTCTGGGTCTCATGACTGGTTTCTTAGGCGGGTGAGTGAAGTACAAAATGAAAGAGGCATTCTCTGAGTGATCTGGCTGTAGGCACAACTCGGGACTTGTGTGTACAACTCAGACTCATAACCTCAGTCTGAGCATGGACATCAAACATGGTGGCTCAATCCTTTCCACAGAGGCAAGGGCAAGGAGACTGCATCACCACCAGATTATTGACTCATCTCCCAGAAAAGACCAAATTCAGCCTATCCTTCACCAACTCCCGGAGCTTGCTCAAACTCATGTCCATCGAGTCAGTGATGCCATCCAACCATCTTATCCTCTGTCGTCACCTTCTCCTCCTGCCTTCAATATTTCCCAGCATCAGGGTCTTTTTCAATGAGTCAGTTCTTTGCATCAGGTGGCCAAAGTATTGGAGTTTCAGCTTCAGAATCAGTCCTTCCAATGAATATTCAGATACAAGGTTAGTTAGGCTAGAATGGAGGCTTACTCTAGTTAGGAAAGTTATGACCCTAGAGTGCTGCTAAGGAAGATCATTAGTATATGCTTCAGTTAATGTCTCCTTCAAAGAATCTTTCTTAAAAATAGCCACATTTGTACAAGAAGGTTTGTCCGATAAAATGTTTGTAATAGCAAGGAAACTGGTAACAACCTAATACATACTAACACAGAAAGGATAAATTATGATACATGAAACACGGTGTAACATCAAAAAGGTTTATCCAAACAAGATGCTGAGCAAAATGTACACTGTGAGCCAATTTGCTTGAAAAGAAAATGCTTTCTTTTGATATTTATGCATAACGCACACCCTTAACACACACACACTCAACTGTTGATAGTGGTTTCTCTGGAAAGCAGAACTTTCATCTTTTATTCTGTATGCTATGAATCCTTTTATTGTCTGCGTAAACATTTTCTTCTCTAAGTATAATGGTTGGGGGTGGGGAATTTCCTGACCCATCAATACTGAAATCAGGTCTCCCTGAAGTCTTCATACATTTTTATATTATTTTCACCGGATTATAAAGA